GGGCCCCGCCCTGGCCCCAGGGGTTGGGGTAGGAATCCCAATTTTACAATTTTGAAGCCTCATCTACCAAGGATGATTCTGACCAAGTTTGAAAAAAATCCATCCACTGGTTCTTGAGAAGAAGTTGAAAATGTAAAAGTTTACGCACGACGGACGAAGACGGACGAAAAGCGATTGGAATAGGTCACTTGAGCAAAGCTCAGGTGACCTAAAAATTGTATTATATATAACATTATATTTTTGTTTCATTTCACAAATTTCTTTGCTTTGTTATGAAAAGTCAACTGGATCGAGGCCTAAAAGTGTTCGCTTATATTTGCTCTAACTAAACAGTGTATGACAAAATAGTAAGGCATCAAAACAATAATGCAAAACTTCAATGAGGTTTCCAATGATGGCAGATACTGTGAGGAAAGGAGGAGGGGCTAATTCTAATTTATAATAATTTATAAATTATTTAAATCTAAATTTTCAATTTGATTTCGACATCCTGCTTATGAATTAAAGAGGGTACATGTATGCATACACTGCAGATGTTTGCATCCAGCAGTGAACAAGTTATCCCAACACTGGATGGAGTGCAATTGAGCGAGATAAAATTGATAGGATCAAAGATAAAAACTGAGGCTGGTCAGGGTATCTGAAACATATTTTTTGCTGTTTTGGCCTAAGCAAAAATTATTCAAAACAGACATGATGAATTGCTCATAGCTCATTTAATGCTTCAACTAAAGAATAGAGTCAAGACATATATTACCAAATTCATGCTCTAGTTGATCCATGTCATGGTCTTGATTCACATGCCCACGTGCATGAGTGTACATTTCTGCAACCTCATCATTTTGAAGACTGCTGTGTCCAGTGTCAGGGCATGCACAGCCATCTTTAAGATCCGAGTCATCTGCTTCTATCATCATTCCATAGGAATGCATTGAAAGCAAACATCTAATTGACCCTATGAAGTTGACATAACCTAAAAATATTCAAAAATTACAGATTATCATTTAAATGATGTAAATAAGTGATTTATAGTTCCCATGTCTAATGATTTAGTTTTTCCTAAACATTAGAAATATTGTAACAAGACTGGACTCTGCCACTTTCCAAGTCCCACTGTCAACCCTGCAGGTTCAATTTGGTTGGCCTCAGGTTTTTCTGTTCATTACACTATACTCTTATCACAACTCTTAAAATACCTGAAGAACATTCAATGTAAAACTGTCAACTCCTCCCTTATTAGCAGAAGACAAGTCAACTGTAGAACCAAACAGGAACAAGGAACAAGTAACAAACAACTCAATGCTTTCGTTACTCAGGGTCAAAGCTAGAACTTTGTCAAACTTTGATTTACAAATGTACTCACTATATTCTAAAATTTATAGTCAATAAATGGTGTTTTGGTAATTTGCATAATATACAATAAGAAGTGATCTATTTATCTTATTCTTTATTCTCTCTATTACATAGCAGTATTGCATACATTTATTTAATTGCATGAATGATATTCAACAAAACACCGTATCTAGATATAATTGTTTCATTACAATAATTACGAAATAATCATGATACACATCATTTACAAGTTACATAGGAGCTAACCATTGACATTTCAAGAGATGTCGATTCAATTGACCCAACGTCTTAGGCAGGTAGATTTTATGCATGGGCTAGTGAAAAAGGCCAAGTATTGCAAGGCAATCAATAGTCCCCCACAGGTAATGATTTCTATATTTAACAAATTTACACTTATGTCAGGATGTACCTACTGTTAGGAAAGTATCCCGATACATACTTCTTGCATTCCGCAATCCCAAGATGTCCTTAAGCTTGAAAACTAAATCTGGTTATTCCAAGTGAAATAGTACAGAAGATATGCTCCGGACAAACTTTTTCAAAAGTAAAGGTAATAGATTAAGTCATAGGTCACAGAGACCTAATTCTTGCACTCTGCCATCCCGAGATAAATTCATCTTTTGACAATGTAATTGTTGTATGAAAATTGAAATTCAACCATCTGATTAGTTCTAGGAACAAGAGTACTGCGGGGCGGAACAATATACGCTCGTCGAATGCCATAAAGTGTTATATACTTTCTTACATTGAAATAAGATCTGCATCATTCTAAGAGTGGTTACCTGACTGCTATAAAAAATGTAGGAGAAAATCTCTGGACAAAAAAAATCAAATACTGAAATGAACAAAGGGCAACAACTTTTGCAAAAATCGTCGAATCAATATTCTTTTAAGGGAGACACAACTTCACATCATGATTATAATGTTTACCAAGTTTCAAAGAGATTGGTCGAAAAAAGTAGGAGGAGATTGCCGGACAGACAACAGTTTACGCTGGACGGACAAACCCATACCATAATACCCTGTTGACGGGCATATAAAATTGGCAAAAATTTACTCTACAGTCACAGTTAAAGTAGCGTACACAATGTTTATTAAGTCTGTATTCCAGTTTGTGCTGGACCTTTTATAACTTTTATTTAGTAGGTTTTATTTACAATCACACATTATCTAAAGTTAGCTGTAAAATAGGTAACATGTATGACTGAACTTAATATACATGTATTTTGTTGTAAGGGTCATGATCAATAGGCCTACTGAAAGATGGTATAATCACTATCAGTTTCAACAACCTGATCTTTGTCCGTTCATGGAAGAAGATGGACCTACAGGTGGCATCATCATAACTATCCAATTAACAGGAAATATCATTACGTTCGGTACATACATGTCCCCAATTTGAGGTAGTTTAATGTTTTTGTGTTTTGGGGCCTTTTTGGGTAAATCATGCTACCACACTCCAACCTTAAGCTTGGTGCCTTCATCCGTTCATTGAACAGGTCCAGTACACTCTGTCGATTGAGCTATATAGCTGTGAAGACCTATATTGCTATAATAGGTCTATTGACCTATCTGAAATAGGTCTGTTGGGCAATTTTCATGTGATTTTCTTTTTTAAGGAAAACGAAAAGAAAATTTTATCATTAGGTTGATAACAAAAGACATTAAATATAAGTATTCTTTTAAAAAAAATAATGACGTAATTTTTTTTTAACATTTATGAAAAATGAAAATAAACATCTAAATGTATGCTTTTTGTAGTCAAAATTACCATAAACTTTATTGTTCTATGCGTCTTTGCTTAAATTTAATGAAAATTGAAATCTGAGAAAATATATAGCTCAATACAGCTATAATTTATAGGTGAATATAGCTTTATAGGTCTTTGTATAGCTTAATCGGCAGAGTGTACTGGACCTGTTGAAGAAGTCATATATACATTATATTCAAATACAGCTTTAAAGCTTCTTTTAGGGATTTGTTACAGCACACCATTTAAGAAGTCTCATAGTCTCCCAAGTGAATGCATAGGCCATTTAGGTGTGGGAACAAAGTGTACAAATTCATTGTTTGCTGAAAACCAAAATGAGAAATCCGTGGAAACTGGTAACGTCACATTTTATGCACGCCGATTTCAAAGCGTTATAAACGTGTTTAAAATAATTCATCGAATTGTACACATAACCTGAGATAATTTATACATGTAGTCTACGTTTCTGCCACCACATTACAAAAGAAAGTCACATTAAAGCTACTTACCGTCACAGAAGAAGCATATTCACTGTATATCGAAAGCGGAAATGTATTTCGAATTCTAAATACTGAACCGACAATGTAAGTTTTATTCCGGATTAAAAACTACGTCCACAGTAGCATTGTGGATACGGTTGATATTAATATATACCTCTCTGGGTTGATGAATGAGGACATCTAAATATCTATTTTATCTTGTAATAATGAGATATTTTCTTGTTATTAAAGTAACTGTAGCGGGGGACGTTTTAATATATGCAGAGACGTATAAATGTATTATACGTCTCTGATATATGTGTGTTCATCGACAGTGTTTTGTTTGTTTGTTTGTAACAATATTTGTTTGATTTTGTTTAACGTCCTATTAACAGCTAAGGTCATTTAAGGACGGCCTCCCCTGTGTGCAAGGTGCATGCGTGTAGTGTATGTGTGTGTATTTTGGGAGGCTGTGATATGTTCGTGTTTGTCTCCTTGTGATAGTGCAGAACTGATGCCGACTTTATAGTGCTACCTCACTGAAACATACTGCCGAAGACACCCAGCAGGACGCCCCATCCGGTCACTTTATACTGACAACGGGCGAACCAGTCGGGACACAGCATCTAAGAACACTGACTACTGTGTGGACACAGCATCTAAGAACCTTGACTACTGTTCGGACACAGCATCTAAGAACATTGACTACTGTTGGGACACAGCATATAAGAACCTTGACTACTGTTGGGACACAGCATAAGCCATTGTAGCGTGCCAATATGTGAAAACAGGAAAAATTATATTGAATTTATTAATTACTGTGTTTAAAGGGACATCACGTGAAGAGCCATTTTTTTTAATGAATGTATGTATTGTATGTGTAGCGGGGTGGTTTTACAAATAACCAAGAGTTCTTTAAGATTTATGTTTATTCCATTCCACAGCACAGATATGACATGGTTCAACATCCTAGTGTATAGGTAGATACATACACTCTGTAAACATTTAGCACAACGAATCACAAGTACAATACATATACTAAAGGGACATAACTCTTGCAAACTAAATACTGTACTGCCTACTAATTCATACCGTTACAATTACACAGCATACATGGCAATTACTTTATAATAATTTTACAATTATTGTTTCTCAATTATATCATTACAAATAGTTACTTAGTAATCTAATGACCAATTAATCCAAAAGAAATAAGAAAGAAAATGATAAACCTAACTTTAACAACTAAAGTTAGAATATAACTTTCATGGAAATATAAATTACTTAAAATGTACATATCACGCACCTGTGTATGGCACAGAGCCAGGAATTAGGAAACCGATTCCATCAAAAGAGCGAAGCACTTAGTACTGAATTAATCGATCTATAAATAAAATAAAACCATTCTATTCAAAATGGTAAATGTCAATATACAAATATATATACTTCCACTTATGTTACCTCGCTATCCCCATATTCATAGTCCGTTCCAAATGTCCAGTTTGACCACTTGAATTGTTCGGGAAAGCCCTGCTAAAAATAGCGCCGATAACGTCACCTGACTAGGCAGGACACGGTTTCCAAAGGGGCCCCCAGATAGGGGCCGTCAGGCAACTGCAACTTCTTACCGCACTATGAAACCAAGTAATACGATTTCTAAGTCCGTATTCAAACTTATTGAACAGTAATTATTCATCATCAGAAGTTGATTGCACACTTGCCAATTTTCAGAATTTAAATTTATCTAGCTTTAAACATATTCGTTGCCAATAAAATTGACCAAGGAATGGGGCACACGTTTTTACAATTTATCACAGCCTTCTCCCGTCATACATTTACAATTAAATGTCAACAATGATAATAGGCATAAACATAAAGTAGATATTTATAAATATGTATTCAATTTAGTACCGGAATGTGACCTGTACAGATGGTACGGGGCTAAACACCTTCCCTCAACCATGGGACAAACCTTTCTGTAAAAAGGAATATTCACGAGACGAATATCCCTTTTCAAATGTTTTCATAAAGTGCATAAATGCAATGACAAACTACATGCGTATAAAAATGAGAAACGTTTGTGATTTTTTTTTATTAAATTGTACAACTCAATGTCTTTGGCCAATTTTTTTTCTAGACCCTGCATATAAATTTATGTATACTCTGTTTCCCACTTTCATTGTCTCCGGTCGATCCATACTCTAACACTTAGTAAGTCATATTAGCCATCACACACAATTAACTGTATGGCAAAACCACTATGTAGAATATGTGTCAGATATGGAACGTGTTGAGATACTTGATATTTTTTTTCAATACTTTACATAGATCAGGGACAGTATTATACGTCCCTGCATAGATTAAAGCATTCTTGTAAATGGACCCTTTTTTACGTTGAGACATCTTTTCTTTAATCATTTCATTTTTGTCCGAAACAGAAGCCGTAGTTATCGGCAACACGCGTAATTTTTACAACGTAAACAAGCTTTTTTTCCCCTGTGTTCAATACGTATTCCGATTCTATCTGAAGTCGAAAATTAAATTAATTCATTATAGAGAAAAGGGTGTTACATGATCATATATTCTAAGTCAACATCATATGAAAACATGGATTGTTGATAAATTACGATTTAAAAAAAATATGTTATGCGATCCTATTTACTAGAAGTAGGTTCTCCTTCCTCAGTTATTCATCCTTGTCCGTCATTTTGACATATTAATCTAGCTGCGACAACGTAGCTTTCTGACGAAGAGCGATTTTTTTTTATATATTGCGTCGTCGCGCCAGAGGAGGCCGGGTATTCATATTAGTACTGATTTAAAATCTTGCATGTAAAAACAAAAAAAATCGTTTAATTCAGGAATATAATTAAATCATACCATTTTACTGAACCCGGTAATATTATAAATTATGTAAATCTAATAGCGCACGTATCTCATTTGACCCCGAGTACCAACCGCAGAGGAGATAACAGAATATGCCGTGGCCATCACAACAGTTATCCCTTGGAGGGCCTCATGGCAAAATCAAACTAACCAGTCACTTATCCCTTCCTTTCGCAGAAACCATTGTATAATTATAGAAACACAAAGTAAAATATCTCCGATACATGTCCATTAAAATATTAAACTAAGTTCATCTGTGTTCAAACTCAGACAAAGATACAAGCGAGGTTAATAGTTTTAGATATTTATTCATAACAACAGCGCTAGCATGTCTGTTGATTCCATTTCAGCTTAACCGGCTATCCGGAAGAATACATGCACCGTCCTTTGAATGCTTCCCACCTGCAATAATGATTCCGTAACGTACTCCTTGCGCTATCTTTTGACCATTTGGCAACTTTCCGCTCCTACCCTGCAGGTAGGGCGTAAGAATTGTACCTGCTACCCCCAATTGCATGATCGTAAGAGGCGACTAAATTTGGGACCTTATCTCTTCTCTTTTTTTCTAAATAACTTTCTTCTTCCTAATGTCTCCCTTGACAATGCCTTACTTTTGGCCATTTGTTGAGCGTTCTCCCTTGACAATGCCTTACTTTTGGCCATTTGTTGAGCGTTCGCCCATGTGAGGAAGGCTTTGGGTTCTGTCCCCTGGCCGAGACATACCAAAGTCTTTAAAAATGGTAGTTTCTACTCCTGCTTAACGCTCAGCAAATTAGGAGTGGGACGACTGGTTCACCCGTTGTCAGTATAATGTGACCGGGTGGGGCGTCCTGCTGGGTGTCTTCGGCAGTATGTTTCAGTGAGGTAGCACTATAAAGTCGGCATCAGTTCCGCGCTATCACAAGGAGACAAACACGAACATATCGCAGCCTCCCAAAATACACACACATACACTACACGCATGCATCTTGCACACTGGGGAGGCCGTCCTTAAATGACCTTAGCTGTTAATAGGACGTTAAACAAAATCAAACAAACAAACAAACAAATCGTAGCTGACACGGTAGAACACTTTTCTTTCGCTTACTTCACACGGCCAGTCATTTTGTTTACAAAGAAATGGTGTGCTATGCGCATGCGCTAGTAGAGGTAAATCCCTGAACAAAACGTTGGTCAGACAGGTAGAAATACCGATGATTATCTTAGATTTAATCATTTTTATAAATCTATTTTTGCCAAATCCGATTGTTATTTAGGAGTCTCACTTGATATGCTTATGTAGTATTTGAAAAAAAGACCCCAAAAAAAGTTACTTCACCGTGATGCCTCTTTAACAGTTAGTAACTTAGGAATTTTTTTTCATGTTTTCACATATTGGGTTGATAGGATTTTTTCTAACATGTGAAACCCAATTCGTGAAAAGTGAAAAAAATCTTAATATCTGTTTTGGATTATTAGCGTATCTAATTATTGGGAATTGTTTACATAAGAGTTACTTTGAATAATAAGTAGGTAACAGATAGTAACTTAGGAATTTAAAACATTATCATGTTTTCACATATTGGGTTGATATAATTTGTCCTATCATGTGCAACCCAATTCGTGAAAAGTGGAAAATATTTTTTTTTATTATTATTCGTGGATTTAATTAGTTTGGATGGTTCAGCTTAGAGTTAGTTTGAATTGTAAGTAATTTAAACACAGTAATTAATGAATTCAATATATTTTTTCCTGTTTTCACATATTGGGTTGTTTTCACATATTGGCAAGCTACACAGCATCTAAGAACCTTGAATACTGTTGGCACACATCATCTAAGACATTGACTACTGTTGGGACACAGCATCTAAGAACCTTGACTACTGTTTGGACACAGCATCTAAGAACCTTGACTACTGTTGGGACACAGCATATAAGAACCTTGACTACTGTTAGGACACAGCATCTCAGAACCTTGACTACTGTTTGGACACAGCATCTAAGAACCCTGACTACTGTGTGGACACAGCATCTAAGAACCTTGACTACTGTTGGGACACAGCATCTAAGAACCTTGACTACTGTGTGGACACAGCATCTAAGAACCTTGACTACTGTGAGGACACAGCATCTAAGAACCTTGACTACTGTTTGGACACAGCATCTAAGAACCTTGACTACTGTTGGGGCACAGCATATAAGAACCTTGACTACTGTTA